AACTAATTCCTAAGACTGAATGTGTGTGAAGATTATGGAAGCTAACATACTATTATGACATGATGGTACAAAATCCCTGAGGGTTTTTACTGAAATAAATAATTATTTTACAAAACATTAAAAAAACATACTGATAATATTATGGTAGATTTTGTGTCCTACTTTTTGGTGATTGCAGCCATGATACACACAATCATATACATGGTTTTATATCTCTAGCTGTTATACAAGTAAATCAGTAGGAATATCAGCTGAGTCTGAATGATCACTGGTAGGATTAGAAATGATGGGAGTTTGACTCTACCTAAGTCTGAACACATTTGAAGCCCACAAGGGAAAACAAAAATATAAAAAAAAAAATCCAGGTTGAGAAATGAAATACTGCTTTCAAGGTGTAACAAGTTAATCAATACTAGCTTGACCATTCAAGTTCATGTAAAAAGAATGGGAAATATTCTTGGGAATATTTTGGGCAATATTTTTATTTGCTTTCTTGTCCTAAGTTAGACAAGAGGATTGATACCACTGTCACATCCATCCATCTATTATCTATACCGCTTATCCTAACAAGGGTCACTGGGGGGCTGGAGCCAATCCAAGCTGACATTGGCTAACACCATCACATCTGTCTTTGACATATACAGTACATGGTGTAGAAAAATTGCCTCCAGTTTTGTTCCTGCTGTTGTGTGGCTTATTTGGAAAAATTGCCTCCTTTGTTCCTGCTGTTGTGTGGCTTATTTTGTTGTTCCTCGATGTCCAGTACTTTGCTTGTGCTATGATACACTGGGAGGGTAGATTTGTACTAGTTGACAAGGCAGCTCCACAGTAGTGGTGTGAGCCTGTCAATGAAGGAGATGTCACCCCACAAAAAACTGATGCGCCGCTTGCAACAGCTATTTGTTATTTGTCAGGTAATATTTTCTACTTTAAACAGGATTATGTGGGATGAGTAGAGTGAAAACACCTCCACTCCAAAGGACTATAGAGAACATATCCATAATGTTAAATTTTTTTATATAGCTCTGTTACCAGACTTTGTAAACAATGATTACACACTTTCTCTTGATATTTACTAAACCAATTGTTGATTTACTCTTTTGTATCCCAGATAATAGGCATAGTCCTCCTCATCTTCATCTGTGTGGGTCTTGTAGTGTATGTAATCAGAGAAAGCTGCCAACAAGAGGTGCAGATGCAGGATGCAGACGTAGCTGAGCTCACTGTGTTCAGGATGAGCTCTCCAAGGACCAGGACATCATGAAAGGACTTAACCTGCCCTGCTAGCATGGACACGGTGTAAATACCCTGAACATCAATACATTTTTTTAGTAAGTGCCCCATTAAACTAGTTTCCCTAAAATCTGGGCAGTGATGGGCAATAATGCTGCCATATGAAGTTGCCATCAATATGGATATATTTAAAAACTATGTTTTTAGTTTTTTCCTCTGTATTTTAGTGAATATGTATGCAGTGTTGTGCCTGTGCTCATCTGATGCTTTAGTGCAGTGACTTATTTCTTTTTACCTGTATTTAAATGAATATTTTGAAATGGGAAATACACCTATTCATCTTTTGCCAATAGTCAGATGTTAAGAATGATATGACTCTTATGTCTGTCCAGTAAATATGAAGCTATAACCTGCAGACAATTAGCTTAGCTTAGCATAAAGACTGAAAATAGAGGGAAACAGGTAGCTTGACTCTCTCCAAAAGAAACAACATCCATCTAAGGGCACCTCTAAAGCTCACTAACTCATCAGTTATATCTCATTTGTTTGTTCCATACAATGTAGTGACTGCTTCCAGTCAAGAACTACTCTACCATATATGCCCTTATAAAATGGTTACCAGTTTCTCCTTTTCCAGTTGTTCCACTAAGCTAACCAACTGGCTGCTGACTCCAGTTTTACAGTGCCTTGCGAAAGTATTCGGCCCCCTTGAACTTTGCGACCTTTTGCCACATTTCAGGCTTCAAACATAAAGATATAAAACTGTAATTTTTTGTGAAGAATCAACAACAAGTGGGACACAATCATGAAGTGGAATGAAATTTATTGGATATTTCAAACTTTTTTAACAAATAAAAAACTGAATAATTGGGCGTGCAAAATTATTCAGCCCCTTTACTTTCAGTGCAGCAAACTCTCTCCAGAAGTTCAGTGAGGATCTCTGAATGATCCAATGTTGACCTAAATGACTAATGATGATAAATAGAATCCACCTGTGTGTAATCAAGTCTCCGTATAAATGCACCTGCACTGTGATAGTCTCAGAGGTCTGTTTAAAGCGCAGAGAGCATCATGAAGAACAAGGAACACACCAGGCAGGTCCGAGATACTGTTGTGGAGAAGTTTAAAGCCGGATTTGGATACAAAAAGATTTCCCAAGCTTTAAACATCCCAAGGAGCACTGTGCAAGCGATAATATTGAAATGGAAGGAGTATCAGACCACTGCAAATCTACCAAGACCTGGCCGTCCCTCTAAACTTTCAGCTCATACAAGGAGAAGACTGATCAGAGATGCAGCCAAGAGGCCCATGATCACTCTGGATGAACTGCAGAGATCTACAGCTGAGGTGGGAGACTCTGTCCATAGGACAACAATCAGTCGTATACTGCACAAATCTGGCCTTTATGGAAGAGTGGCAAGAAGAAAGCCATTTCTTAAAGATATCCATAAAAAGTGTCGTTTAAAGTTTGCCACAAGCCACCTGGGAGACACACCAAACATGTGGAAGAAGGTGCTCTGGTCAGATGAAACCAAAATCGAACTTTTTGGCAACAATGCAAAACGTTATGTTTGGCGTAAAAGCAACACAGCTCATCACCCTGAACACACCATCCCCACTGTCAAACATGGTGGTGGCAGCATCATGTTTTGGGCCTGCTTTTCTTCAGCAGGGACAGGGAAGATGGTTAAAATTGATGGGAAGATGGATGGAGCCAAATACAGGACCATTCTGGAAGGAAACCTGATGGAGTCTGCAAAAGACCTGAGACTGGGATGGAGATTTGTCTTCCAACAAGACAATGATCCAAAACATAAAGCAAAATCTACAATGGAATGGTTCACAAATAAACATATCTAGGTGTTAGAATGGCCAAGTCAAAGTCCAGACCTGAATCCAATCGAGAATCTGTGGAAAGAACTGACAACTGCTGTTCACAAACGCTCTCCATCCAACCTCACTGAGCTCGAGCTGTTTTGCAAGGAGGCATGGGCAAAAATTTCAGTCTCTCGATGTGCAAAACTGATAGAGACATACCCCAAGTGACTTACAGCTGTAATCGCAGCAAAAGGTGGCGCTACAACGTATTAACTTAAGGGGGTTGAATAATTTTGCACGCCCAATTTTTCAGTTTTTTTATTTGTTAAAAAAGTTTGAAATATCCAATAAATTTCGTTCCACTTCATGATTGTGTCCCACTTGTTGTTGATTCTTCACAAAAAATTACAGTTTTATATCTTTATGTTTGAAGCCTGAAATGTGGCAAAAGGTCGCAAAGTTCAAGGGGGCCGAATACTTTCGCAAGGCACTGTAGCCCTATCACATCTGCATCCTTGGATGATCAGCATAAAGGTGAAGGCCATGACGGCAGGAATGATGAAGAATGATGATGAAAACACCCCATTCCACGCAGGGTTGCAAGGACACTCAAACTCCAGGTCCACCAGCTTCTCTAGTCCCATGAGGATAAAGCCAAAAGCCACATTTGATACCAGCGGACTGTTGCTAAGTTCGTTTTTCAGCTTGGTAAGCCATTGTTGTCTGCTTTCCATATTAGACTGACCAAAAAATGAGGACAGTTTTTGTATAAGCCCAAAAGAGGGTCCACAGTTGTGAACACACTGGCAACAGCTAAGTGATGCATAATTAACTAATCCAGGGGTAAGTTTCCCCTCAGGCAAAATGCCACACTTCCACTCTGATTGGTTTTGAACCAAGGAGGGTGTGCTCTCTCCTCTGACATATCTCTACATGATTGGTCTGTGCGAGGTTTCAGGTGGGGTTACATTTTAAATGTGGTCACCTATAGACAAATTGGAGGGAGGGCTGTAAAGTGGAGGGAGGTTTGTTTTGTTTTGCAGTTGAGTTCAGACTGACCAAGTAAGGTCAAGTAAGGTCAAGTAAATACATGTACATAACAGGGCTAAGCCTTTACATGCCAAAATGTAGGCCTACACTAAAAATAAAACTAAAGAGGGAATGGTTACAGTTAAAGTTATATTTAAGGAAAGGCCATACAATTTACTTTATGAAGTGTGTAAATGTATCAAGTGCTCAGGTGTTTTTGTTTCATTTGTCTCAAACGGCTGCAATTAAATTACCTCAGCTGGCCACACGAGGTCGCCCGTGTAGCAGCACAGAACAGGTGTAGAGAGGATTACAAGTGGCCATGTTGATCATTCAATGTAGTACATAAAGTTCTGGAGCCCCCCAACCACTGATGTGATTACAGGCTAATTTATAAATAACTTCACTGATCTCAAGAGGAGGAGAGATGTGACTGGTGAAAACTGCGACTGGATTGCTTTCAGTTCACCTGCGGTACCCAGTACCCTTGAAAGTCTTTAGGTGTAACTTCTCAAATATGACCTTTAAGCAAATGCTACTTGTCACATGCCTAGTTTGTGATAAATCAGATTGGACTAACCAGCTGACAGTTTACAGGCTACAATAAAAGAGCTGTTGAACAGAGGTAGGAAATCTTACAGGTTATTACTGTAGTCGCCCACAGCTCAGTGACAACTGCATGAACAGGAACACCTTCCTCCAAATGGCAGATGATGAAAACGTGTCGTGCAATAAAAAACAAAACAAAACAAAACAAAAACAAAAAAAAAACCAAACAAAACAAATTAAGCTTTATCAGCTGACAAGGGACTGACGGATCCACGCAATAACTGAGTTCAAAAGGCACATTGATTACATAGGTGTTACATATGTATGTGTGCGTGTGTGGTTATCCACGGTCATGAGCGCACAGGGCACGCGCAGCTTGTTACTGCTGCCTTTGGTGTCCTACCAGCATCTGTTCCTCTTTTTGCTAATAAAAATAGAGCGGCGCTAATAAGAGACTTGTGTTTCGGATACATCACTTCCTGCTGGGAATTATCTGTGCGCTGCTTTCATTTTAATCACCGAACCGTGACAGAGAGGGCGCGAATGCGCATCGGCCTGCGCATCTTTGAATCTTCAGAACTACACTGTGAACAATCTCCCTGACATCCGAGGACCTCTCCTCCGCAATCCGACGAGGCTTCTCCACCGCCTATGGCCTCACGTCGGCATCCCTGAGCCGCTGGCCTTGTCCCGGACCCTTCATCCATCGCCGTCTTTAAAAGGTTTTTAAACCCGGGAACAATTTTTATAAACATTTTTAAAATTGTCCGCGCCTGACTATTTGTAAAGAACCCTGTGCTATGCTGGGCCCATCTCTCTAGATCTTGTGATCAATACACGATCTCTCCTCCCACATTCATCCGAGCAGGCTCTTGTACTCTCAGCGAGCCCCGACAATGCATCCTAATGCAGAGATGCTGGCGGTGGTCCTTTTGGGGAACTTGATGCTGCCTTTCATCTCGGCTCAAAACGGTAAGAAAGCAGATGTTACCATGACACAATCGCTTTGAGGGAAAGTGACTTGACTTGTGTGAGGACGCCCGAGCGAAATGTTTCCAAAGAAGATTATGAGAATGACCGCGATAAGTCACTATTAACGCGACACGCAGTTTTACACATCTGGACAACAAGGCCAGAGGTAGACTTTAATAAATAGGATTCAGTCACTGACCACACAATGTAGAACTCTAAGCTGAGAAAAGAGGAAGAGAAGGGACGTTGTTCTGACATTTTTGCAAGGTTATTTATTGCCACATGAGTATGCAGGATATTGTGCATGTGCCTGTAAGAGGAGGCAACTGTCAGTTTAGGGCATGTCGAATATTTTGTCCTTTTTTTTCCTTTTTTTTAAATAATATTGTTGCTATGAGTAAAACTGAGATCGGTACCTTTATGTAATTAGTTCTGTTTGGTTTGCAGTTTGTTCAGTCAAATGGGGTTAAGTAACAGAGCAGGTTGACTAACCTGCTCTGGATGCAGATCGATACCAAACAGGCTAAAGAAACCTCAGTGTGTTGGAAATACTGGAAACACCAGGCCCTTCTGTAACATGCATCTGTTTGACTGACATAACTACTCCTGTTATACTACATTTCCCAAGAGGTTAAGCGGATGTTTCAGTCTGCAGCTGTTATAAAATTAAATATATCCACAGATAACGTTATTATAAGAGATGTGACTGACAGACATTTGGATCTATGTAAAGTATTTCAGTTTCATTTTAAATGTTTGCTGTAATAAAATGATTTGGTTCAAGTAAATATCAGCAGCATGCTGTTGGGTGTTCTCTGATACACTATGTCCTGTTTTCAGATTCTGTTGATTCGAATGAGGGAATGCACAGAAGCAACCATTCACAAACGTGGAATCTACTGAACCAAAATTTAAAAGAACCTCAGTAGATTCATTGAGCAACTCTGACATGATTACGAAGTTGTCACTTTAAAATGCGCCTGGAATCAATCAAGTTCAGTTTTTAATGGCCAACATAATCATTGTCTGCCTTTTAAGAAGCTTCTGTAGCCACATGTCATTATCACTGACATGGCCTAATCTCCTTTCAGAGAAGCAGAGAAGCACTCCACAGACCACAGACAGGTCTAATGCTTCGTGCCCACCTCCTCCTTTCTGTGGGGTGATAATCAGACACCCACTATCCAAGACTTAGTAGTAGACATATTTTGATGATAGGGTGATAAGGTTGTGGAAAACCTCACTCCGCCACAGTTCTGTCTCTTAAGGATTTAGTATTTGAAATGGAGAATGTCAAAGATAAGACAAAACTACTTAAGAGTAATGTATTAGAGCAGTTTGTACTTCTTTTGTTTAAAATTAGTAAGACACAGTATACAGTTATGAAAGAAGCATATTAAGTGAAATCTAGACAATTTTACAAAGAAGTACAGGAATAACCTACATCTTTAGTTTGTGAGCAGACAAAAAACACCAAAACACCACAGCAGTTATACAACAACATATTATCCTTAGATTTAGGTGCATGTGTGTGCACGCGTGCACAGTGAAGCTTTCTTTGAGCCTGAAAGTCAAACACTCAGTAAGCCCACACACATACCTATACTGCCAGGGGGTCAGTGGGGGACAAACTGGTCCCACCAGTCACTGAATGCGTCAGTGCTCTATTTGTATTGTGTAGAGATCCTGAATACTAAATTTCTTTTCCAATAAGCTACAGTTAGTGTTCAACACCAAAGGTAATAGTCTGATGGTATTTGCTCACAGTGCATGCCTCAAAAGCCATTTTATTTCTCTCTCACAGTTCAGATTAAGGGTAACTAGTGCATGGCTTCTTATGTAATCCTTTTTTTTTTCGTGTGGTATTACAAAGTTTAGGGAATGACCTGGGAAGAATAATAATAATAAATGCATGAGATGTAATCACAGCGCCTGGGAAGCAGAGGTAATTCATGCCATTATTTGCTCATATTCAGGCGAAACTAGGCCTACTAGAGGTGCCCGGTTTCTGCGACAGATATTTGGAGGACCATAAATAGCATCCGTCCATTCTGCCTCATTTCTATTTTTACCACTGAGACACAGCACCAAGAACTGTGGGTTTAAGGTCCTTTTGTGAAAGTGAATCCATTAACTCTTAATGGACGGCCTCCTTTTGCACAGCTGCCCAGCCTTCTAAAGGCTTGCTAGGTGGCTGGGAACTATTTAAACTGAGAGATGATTTGAATATTATGCAAAGAAAATACAGGCTGTTGAGATTGTGGCTGATGCTGACCTGAAGAAGTGCTTCTGTGTCTTACATCACTCCCACTCTACGAAGCATGTAGCCTGCTCCTGCTGCCAGTTTGACTGTATTATTACTGCCTGTGTGAGTCAAAACATCAAGATAACCTGTAGAATAATATGCTTATGTTATGACTGAGAAGTTAAAATGAACTGTTTTCTTTCATTTCATGTACTGTAGGCAGGCAGTTGCTCAACACTAATGACACAGAGCTGCAAAGATGGGTTTTTGTTAAGGTTACACAATCAAAATAAAAATGCATGATATAGGGAAAGCTATGCCCACTTGTGCTGCATAGCACATTGCAATTTGTGACTATATGGCCCCCTAATTCTACTTTATGGCACTTGTGCATTACCATCATCAGAGGGCAACATTTATGTAAAATAAACATTTACAGTTACATACCATTCAGTCAGTGGACCTGTATGATGCAGCAGCTTATCTGTTATCAGACCAAGGTATATTCATGAGTCGAGAAATATACTGTAGAACTCAAACCGGCTCTTGCTCTTACACTGAGTTATGCTTGCTCACTGTGAAATCTGATATGGATCACACTGATTAGGCACGCAGCATCACACAGTATACAGCACAACAGATATACTCAGGCATAGCTGTAAGGTGAACAAGTATGCTGACTATGCTTTTTTCAGTACCACCCTGCTTCACATTCAGTTACATACATATACACACACACATAATATGTCTAAATCTAAATTGAGTTATAAACATTATATTTCCTGCACACTGGATAGTTCCTTTCTTGTATGATATAACAATATAGATATCACTGCATTTCCTTGTATGGACATAAAATGACCTATGACCTATACTAATACTTTTGTGTGTACAAGGTATTAGACAGTTACTACTGATAATTTAGCAATTGTGTAACAACCATTCATGCAGACATAGTTTACATTCACGTTCACATTAGCATGTAAGAATGTTGACTTATAGAGACCTAAAATTGTTCCAACATATGGTAGTACGTAAACATTCAGAATCATTTATTTAGTTATTCATTATTTAGTTAATCATTCCTTGGATTAGTTTGGTTGTGAGCATTGTATGTTTCAGAAAACACCAACCATTATATTTGAAGTGCTAAAGTTGGCAGCTGGACTTGCTTGAGGTTTTTTGAAAATGTTTCACCTCTCATTTGAGGAGCTTCTTCAGTTCTGGTGGGAAGTCCCAGATAATTAACTTATGTGAATTGTTAACACCTTGAGGGCCATTGAAGTCACATGTGAGTCTGTTGACTCACTTGGCAGTCATGTGGGTAGTTAGGGTCATATGGTTTAAGTTGTTAAATTGCCTTGGGAGGAATTCAGGACAGCTTGAAAGTGGCTGTTAAGTGGTGTCTAAGGCAGTTTAGCTCCCATCTACACCTTGACCCATGTGACCCTAATGAACCACATAATGGGGTGGCTTAGGAGATAGAGCAAGTCATCTCCTAATCGGAGGGCTGGTGGTTCGATTCCCACCTTCTCCAGTCTAAATGTTGAAGTGTCCTTGAGCAAGACACTGAACCCCAAGCTGCTCCTGGTGATATCACCAGTGTGTGAATGTGTGAGTGCTTATGTGGGTGAATGGGAAAAAGTGTAAAATGCTTTGAGTGTGTCAATGCATAGATAGGAGCTATATAAGTATAAGACCATGTACCATGATGTCCAGGTGGGGCAATGACCCATATGATGATAAAGCGGCACACCTTCAAAGTGTATTGGAAGTATAACTGCAGGGATTTCCAGGCTACATTGTAAGTGGCTGATAAGAGGTGTCATAAGACATCCACACCTTAATTAACTCATGCGATCCCATGTGGAGAGCTGGGCAGAGCATAGCGGAGTGTAGGGCAGGGAGAGGGAGCACTAGGTAGAGCAGAGTGTGTTGATTCGGAGTTTTATGCTAGCGCTACTCCTACAGTCCAAAGACATGCAGCTTAGGTTGACTGGCGACTCTAAATGGCCCCTAGGAGTGAGTGTGAGTGTGTGTGATTGTCTGTCTACATGTCAGCCCATCTATCCAGAACTCTACTTTTTCAGGACAGGATGCATTTATCCTAGCAGTCAAAAGTTCCTGAAATAGGATCTTCATTAGCAGATTATGCCATGACCATGCTGTCAAACTGTGTGGAAGAATCCAAGACTGAGCAGTGCTAGTGCTACATTAAGTTACATATTGTATCTTTAATTTAGTTTGAGTCAACAAACAAACAAACAAATAAAACAAAACAAAACAAAAAGAATCAGTGAGACAAATATGCACTTAATTTTTTACTATGTGACTTACAATACAGTATTGTACATGATATTGTAACATGTACCGGAACTACTGTCAATTACCTAAATATTACTGTATTGACTTACCGATACTGAAAATGCAGCTATAATCTACTATGTCATACAGGTCACCTCTGAACTCATACACATCTGTCATAGTACCATGTGGGTACAACAAAGATGCATCTGCAACCTCACACACATACACACACACACACACTGCCTAGCATGTAACCAATTCAGTGAGCCTGTGGAGGTTTCCTACTTGCTGCTTTATCTGTCTGGGTTGTGGGACTGCAGATGGGGATCGAGGTTGTAGGCAGGCAGCTGACTCACTCTCAGCCTGCATGGTGGTGGTGTGTGACTTGCTGTCAGTCCTCACGAGACCTCTCTTCTCTACCCACATCAGTACGGATGTAGGCTGTAATGACTGTGACTTTCATACAGCCTCAGACAGAGCTTGTCACATAAAACTACTTGTTATCTTTTGATATTATTGTGGATATGTGATATGGGTATAAGGTGAGCTAAGGTGTGTAAGTCAGATATGGCACTGTGGGCAACTTAATTATTTTGTGTTGAGTAATTTCTCACCATCCACTCATAGAAACATGTGACCTCCGTGGTTAGACTGTATTTCCAAACCTACTGTACTCTAGAAGCTACACCTCTGCAGGCATTAAATTGTATGTCTTTTCGTGCAGCGGGGCTCTTATTTGTTTCAACTATCCTATAATATTCTTTTGAGGATGTCGCAGTTAGTGATGTAACACCCCCCAATTTACTGTGACACGCTCAGCAAGAAACCTCCACCACAGGAATATCTGCTTGGTTAATATTTTGGTTTGTGTTGGTACATGCATTGTGTTAGATTTACATTTCTACAGGCTCTAAGGTGATAGTTTCACCTGGTAAAGTCTCTGCCATGTTCTTTGTAAATATATTTATGATGGAGTTGCAATAAACCAGATATCCATAAAACCTATAGTGCTGAAACTATTAACATGTACAGTTAGCTCAGTTGGTTGGTTGATTATTTTGTATTGCTTTCAACTGAATGTCTGTGTTTAAGACTCTTGATCATACAAAATATTAATTTGAAACTATAACCTTTGGCTCTGTAAAACTGTGTGATGTTACACTTTACTGACATTTTAGACTAAGTTATAAATCAGTGAATGAAAAACATAAGCTCAGCACAGTCACAATAATTTCAAATGATTGTTAGTTCTTTCACACTTTTTCATTTTGTGTTCCATATATAGGCAAGGTGAGTCAACTTTATTTATGTAGCGCATTTCATACACACAGTAGAGTAGCTAAAAGCAGCTTCACCCTGTTTGGTTCTGACCCGAGGTTCTACCAGCTGACAGCTTCCTAAGGATCTCAGAGCCCTGCTGGGTTTGTATTCATCAAGGAGATCAGAACTGTATTTTGTCCCCATACCAATCAGTGATTTACTATAAACTAGCAGTAGCACTTTAAAATTGATTCTGTAGGTAACTGGTAGCCAGTGTAAGGATTTAAGAACAGGAGTGATGTGCTCAGTTCTCCTGGTTCTTGTTAAAACTCTGACAGCAGTATCCTGTTAGAATAGTCCAGCCTGCTGGTGTGAATTAGTTCCTCTAAATCTTGTCTGGACATGAGACCTCTGAGTCTTTCTATTTGTTTGAGATGATAAAAAGCTGATTTTGGTTATGGCCTTGATGTGACTGGTGAATCTCAGCTCGGAGTCAATTATGACACCAAGATTTCTAACTTGAGCTTTTGTCTATAGCTGTAGAATCATATAATATGATAATAGAAAGCAAAACATTTCTATATACTACATAGTATATATGTTAAACACACAAAATTGGAAGTGTTATTATCAGCTTGTTGGCATTTAAGAACAAACCTACCACAACTAAAGTCAACACATCAGCCCATCACTTGGCTGTGTCCATGCTTATATGCATAACGATGAACTCCGCTCGTCTTTCTTCCGCTGCATCACCTTTTTGCTGAGATCTGTCTGCCATCCGCAGCTCCATGTCACTTCTTGTCTCTCGGCACACCTTTGAAATGACTGAGTACGCACTGGCTGCTTGTGTTTTGTTGTCCCTGCCAGTGTAAGCTCCTTGTTTAAACAACATGAAAATTGGTCAGCTCATTGGCCAAGCGTTGCCTGTGGTTTGTTCTGTGTATATTTCTCCACAGAGCTTCCCTGAGCCAGAATTTAAATTAGGCCAAAACCATCTTTTCCTTCTTTTTCTGACTTAAGTTTCCTTTACCCTGGGGGACTTTCATTATTTTAATGAGGTTCTAAACTGTGATTATGAGCTCTTATGCACAGCTAACACTAGTTATCTGCACTATGTGCCCTGCTAACTTACTGTCATATTGATGATCATGGTAAAGAATATAATAGTAAATGTTCTATGAAACTGAAATATTGCTCTAGAAGTGTAGGCAGACAGGCTGGATTCACCCTCTGGGATTATATGCTGAGCTTGATGGACCCAGATGTTTCCAGAGTAAAGAAACACATGCTAATTGCTCTGCATATCTCTAGGCATTGCACGGAGAAAGACAAGTTGTAAACACCTTATATCTTCAGACACATCTAGTAGGACAATGCTTTTTTTTTATGGAATTCTCTTCATATGGCTGTGAGTCACGAACTGGTGTTGGGCAACAGACTTGTTACCATGGCACTCCCTAATATTCATGTATTGTGAAATATTCTGGCTGTACTTTGGCAGTCCACTGTAGAGAGCACATTGGTGTCAAGCTTTGCAAACACTGCATTCTAGCATTATGGAACAGGTCTATACAGACCACATAAACCTTATGAATAGCATTTATTTTCAGCTGGCAGTTATTTTTTGAATAAGCGTATATATGTAAGTGGTTTCTTTGTGGGGGTGACCTGAATACTGTGGTGGTTTACACTCCTTCACACTTGAACAGGCTTATCAGCTACAGTAGCTTATTAGGTTATGATACTGTACATTACTTTGAGCAGGGCAGACAGATTTGGGAGACCCCGTATGCTGTTGTCTCTAGATGCAATAGTCTAACACTCAAGAGACCACAGACACTTTGTTCCCATTTTCTGTACAACAATTCAGGGCAGAGTTAAGGCAGTCTACTTCTTCTGATTTATTTAAGCCCATTTGGTTTACAGCTGACCGACTGCAGGGGCAGCAGAGAACAGCCTCTGTGGTCCAGGGGATTTGTCATTAGATGAGGTTCTTTAAGGCTGGCAGTGTATTGTTGGGCTAACTACTGGTGTGGAACAAGGTCATGAATCAGATACAGCATGGTACACTCGTAGTTGTGATAATTTTTAGATCCTACTTTTTTTTTAGAAATGTACTGCATTTCAGATTTGAAATGTGTTTGCTGTTCCGCACAGAAGTAAGGTAATCCATCAGTGTTGGTAAATGCTGTTTGTCCAATAAATACCGCTGGCATGATGTGTTGAGAAATGGGTGTATATTATATTATACTGCATATCTCTAATCATTTTACTTAGGCAATGTGAATTTTGCTTTCAGAGTGCAAATCCAAAATGTTAGTCATTCAGTCTTTATGGAGAAGGTGGTTGAACAGTGTTATTCCATTTTGACCATATATGAATTTTAAAAACCTGCTCTTATTCAAACTAAAAGATGGCTGACCTCATTTCTGGTGAATGTAAAAAGATTAGGTTTACATACTGTATGTAAATACGAATATATCTGTGTGTGACAGTCTCTGAATAGCTTTTAACAGGCATTTCAAGCTTTGAAAAAGATCAACCATTAGACCTGGCATCAGTATTTATACGTTTTAGTTTCTGAACAAGTTAAATAGTTGTGTAATGAGAACATACAGTAAACTGTGGATTTTCATGCAGTATGTTTAAAAATGTGATTATTTATACCTTAATATCATCTATAATAATTTGACAACCAATTATAGGACAGTAGTTGTGCAAGACGATCTTGGGTTTAAATCTGTGTCTGCATCACTTTCTGTCAATATCTCAGGTTTCTTCCCAGAGTCCAGTGACATGCAAGTTTTGTGAAGTCATGACTCTAATTTTGCCTATAGGTTTGAATGTGAGCGTGAGAAGCCTCTTGGATGAGAGGTGAAACGTCTTCTAGCTAAAACTGCATCCAGATGCTTTCTTTTTTCAGCATACTACGACCTGGATGACTGAGAATTTGCAGGGACATGAGCGTGAATGTGTTTGTGTAATCTGTATTTATTAGCCCTGTGACAGCCTGGCTACATGTCCAGGGTGTACCCTGGACAGTGTGTACCTAATGTGTACCCAGTGTGTACTGGAGAGACTCATGCAACGCACATCAACAGGGTATGGTGTAGAATATGGATTCATGGATTACAGGAAACCGGTGTAACATATCAAACCAAGTTTCAAATTTGTAGGAGTTGTTTAATATAAGCTTTGCAAAATTACTTTTTTTCTTTGTTGCTCTATAAATAGACATATTGTCTGATCTTACAAACAAAAAACAAATTACTGTACCTTTTTGCGTGGCCCAGTTTTCTCTAAGCCACAGATTTTGACAAATCATAGTGTTCTTTTTCGCACCGACAAATCTCTGGCATACTTGCAAGAACTTTTCATGTCAGTGGGGTCATATAGGAGTGGTGCCGCGTGGTTTTTCCAACACAGTACTTAAGGGTTAAAACGGGTCTTATTGCTTACTTAAAACTTTTAAGGATCAGACTGAGACTGACTAAACTCACTGATATTTCTTTAATAGTGCTCCCTTTCATCATATACAGTATCTATACTTATTGTACATGTACTGTAACTAATGTTAGAGTGTTTGCTAACACATACGCACAGGAATGCACTCATCTTTATAAGATATAAGATAAGAGAGAGAAAGAGAAAAGCAGAAAACACATGAGACACTGTAGCATGATTTGCTGGTACAAACTTGGGACAGGTTGACTTTGACTTCGTCTGACAGTTGTATGGCCTTAGTGGGCCAGGAAACCTTGACATTAACCAGCCATTAACCCTTTGTTTTTCCACCTATTAATGATTCGAGGCTTGCTTCTTTTTCATTTGCCTTTAATCATCCTCTCTCTTGTTTTAATTTCCTTTTCCATCCCTTGGCCTTTCCAAACCTTTCTACTGCTCTAACCCTCTTCCACCCTTTCCTTTCCTGCCATCCTGATGCACTTTTCCTCTCCAGCTGGGTTTGTGAAGTCGCCAATGTCTGAGACTAAGCTTACGGGGGACACCTTTGAGCTGTACTGCGACGTGGTTGGTAACCCCACTCCAGAGATCCAGTGGTGGTATGCTGAGATCAACCGAGCCGACTCCTTCAAGCAGCTGTGGGATGGAGCCCGCAAGCGTCGGGTATCAATCAACACAGCCTACGGCACCAATGGCGTCAGTGTGCTCTGCATCACCCGCCTCACACTGGAGGACTCTGGGACCTATGAGTGCCGGGCCAGCAACGACCCCAGGCGCAATGATCTCCGACAAAACCCCGCCATCACCTGGATCCGTGCGCAGGCCACCATTTCGGTGCTACAGAGTGAGTGGTTTATGTCGTGTAGTACCTAGAGGGTGAACCAGCTACCAGTCCCCTGTCCCAACCACTCCAACCCATAAATACCTCTCAAGCGCCCACCCAGCGGTCACTGGCCAAGCAAAAATAAAACAAACACCAACTATGCTAGTTATACATATTGATTATTTAAGTTTAAGTATAAGTATTAAGAGAAAGCAATATGTATGTATATAGACTCAGTAAACTCACTGTCTCTCCCAAAAACCCTTGAACACACCTTTGTTGTAAAAGACCACAAACCCAGGAACTACCCAGTCTCTATCTACATTTCCCTCTTTCGTCCCACGCCAAACCTTTGTTCTTACTGTTTCATGTGTCCTTTTACAATATCCTGATCATTATCTTTTTTTCTCTGTATCCTAATTTCACCCATTTCCTACTAGATTTATTTGTGATACGCATTTCCTTAACATTATGCTGTGTCTTTTTTGCGTTGCGTGGATTGTTTTATTTACTTCAAAGCCCTGTCTGCTAAATGCAGCGGAAACAAAGTGGTGCTTTGAAGTAATGGCGCTTTTGAATTGGCTTTTTCACTCTGGGCACAGTGTAAATGGGACTGTAAGAAGACACAAGGAGGGAGGTGTAAAAGAGTGATTCCTGTTTTCAGCTTTTTTCTAATAAAAGCAAATATTTTCTGCTTTCAAATTAATGTGTGGTAACCCAGTGAGGGATAAGACCACATGAGGGCCTTGAGTGTGTATTTTCTCATCCAGATGAGACAGATTTCACTTCTACAATACAGTCTCTCTGGATTTGCCTGTGAATTGTATAACCTTGTGCCTTCTCAGCCATTAAACGTGTGACTGTGAATCAGTAATGACATTATATCCCTTAACCCTCTGCTCTTTGCACACAAACATTTAAACAAACTGAATTTCAACTGGGCCCTTCTAATCTGCGCATGCTTCAGTGCTCTGCCCACTGGAGCACAGGAAGATGTGGAATGTTGTTAGTTATAGTAAAGCTCTCTGAGAAGCTTAGAGGAGTCTGGTCATTGCTGCCTCTTTTGACTGGATTGGCAAATTTTGATTTCTGTGTGAGCACTACTAGTTGATTAGGTGTACGGCTGATATAATTTCAACTCTTAAAAAGTGCAGTGGACAGGAGCTGTTCACTTGTCTCATTTACTCATTAACTACTTTCCAACTTCTTCTGAAATTTAGATCCTAACAACATATATTCTGTCATTACTGAGAGGTAAATGTTCCTCATATATACATGTAATATCCATGTTATTGCATGTATATAACAGGCTATACATGATAGCCCATTGATATTAATATTGTGGCCGGGGAACCATGCTGAAGCCTGATTGTCTTGTTTTGTCCTTCTAGTTTTGCTTAATTTAGTTTATGGTTGTGAATCGCAAAATCATATTTTAGCATTTATTTCCATTACGAAGTGTTTAGATTACTATGCTATTTGGAATTTGGATTTTTAAGTAAATGCAATTTTAACATTGGATTTCTCCAAAATACGTTAATGCATGGATACAGTTTGCTGGGGATAAATGTTTAAAGTGATACTCGATCCAAATCTATCTTTTGAGTATGAAACACTGTGGTTTGCTTTCTCATTAAAGTAATAGTTACACCCTTTGGGAAATCACTTTTTAAATGAGAACATTGATATCACTTTCATGTCTGTACAGTAATTATGAAGCTTCAGTCAAGTTATCTTAGCTTAGCATAAAAATTATAACCTGGAGTAAACAGCTTGCTCCATCCAAAATAAAAACTGAGTATGCACTGATACTGATACCAGTATTGGTCATAACCAATCGAGCGTCTTGCCTTGTCAGACGATTTTGGTGCCGGCTCTTGACAACAGAGGTTCGTAAAGCTCATTGTGCCTCCAGTTAGATATTATATTGGTGCCTTCATTGTACATTTCTTCACTATCGAATGTTTGTATTATTCCAGTTTCGTGCCGATTACATAGTAGAGCGTCATCAACACGCCCACTAGCTCTGTGTGAATAACCTGGACTATACGCTGCTGCATTCTCACATGGGCTTATTCCAGCTCACTCGGACCTTATGCGGGCTTTGTACTAGGGAGCTGGCAGAGTAAAGTCCACTTCAGTTGAGTCAGACAGTCCCTGTTCCCTCACAGAACTATACGATACTCATTATGCTGACTGTAGCCAGTTTAAAGTAATAGCGTGCACCCTCTTTAAATTAATCACTTCTAATTACCGACGAGGAGATTATGCGCTCTTGAACTTCACATTCTGGGTAGGGCTTGTGAAATCATTTCATCCTAATGGACAGTCATACTCCTAAAAGGTTAAAAACCACAGTATTACAGTAGGCTACAGAAATTCAATCAC